TGGCAGATATAGCAGATTTGGCAGATCTGGCAGATCTGGCATATTTGGCATATTTGACAGGTTCATCAATTTTTGCCGGTTTCAACGCCTAACTTACAGAAAGTACTTTTGTCTCAAAGTGGAAATAAAATTGGTAATGACTCTGGTAATGCATATATTATCAAAGTAATCTGAGAAAGTTGTCAAGAGAATAATAGATTGCTAAGTCAATTTAATAAGTAATTTCAAACTTAATTAAAGCAAGAAAAAAAAAATAATTCTCAAAGAATTAAAGAGTTAGAGAAACAATTAGCTAATGTTTAACAGGAAAATTAAGCATAACAAACTAAAGCTAGCAGAAATAGTAAACTATTATGATCAATAAAGTCTGATAAACAAATTGTCTAATATAGCTTTTAATAATAGTTCGTATAATTTCATTAAACTAAAAAAGAAATTTTCTGATTTAAAGTCCAAGAATTAGCATTGTAAGTAAGAAATGAAAGTAAGAAGCTAGATCAGTTAATTACTGAAACAAAAAGCAAAGTGGGTCATTTTTCTCTTATAGTTGACTTAATCTTAGAAAATTAAAAGCAAATTGTGTAAATCAACAAAACTTTCCAGCGAGATAAATTTATTATCAAGGTGGAAGCTTACCAGACCATTCTTGTAAATAATTTAATCAAATAAGAACTTCAAATACTATTAAACAAACAAAAAGAAATCCTAAAATTAGAAAAGCATTTAGAAAATTTACAACAAATTTGACTAGCAATTTAGTTTAAATGTTAATCATATTATTATTTTAAAAATTAATATATCAAACATTTTGTTAAAATTATATAATTTATAATAAGTAAAAACAAAACTTGGAAAAATTGGAATTAATATTTAAATAATAAGTTAAAGAGAACAATTAAAATGATTTATTTATTTTTTCAACTAAATTGCATTACCATTTTATCCTAATTTATTAAATTCTTATGTAAATCAAAAATCTTAACTTTATTAGTGTTAAGTCAACTATAAAATTTAATATTGTGTAACTTGATTTTAACCACATCTGTTTGATTTATCATACAGAATATTTGTTACTAAGAACTTTCAAATATATTTTTCAAAATTATCTGTAAAATAATTTGTTATAAAGAAAGGTTTATTTAAATATCAACCATGATATTACTTTTATTTATCTAAAAATACATTAAAAAAGTTTATTAATTTATTACTAATTATTTTATATATTTATTATTAATATTAAATATAAAGAACAATTATTAAATATATTTTCTTTAAAAACATTAGAAATGAGAAATCAGTTGACTCTTATTTGTTAAATACGAACCCTTTTATTTAGAATCATATTGCAAAAAAATGAATGTTAGTTTCTTTTTAAAAATATGTAAAGAGCTGAAATAAATCATTTTGTTTAGGCATATTGGGTTGATTTAATTGATTAACTAAATAAAAAGAAAATTACATTAATTTACCAGTTTTAGATTGTAATGAGCATTTGCATTAAATTTTTTGATCTAAGGTCATTCATATATGCCTTGAAAATCATTTTTATTTTCAATTTTTTCAATTTTCCATTTAAATGTATTTTATATCTTTCTAGCTGTATAACCCAGATTTATCTTGAAAGAATCACTATCATTAGGTTCATTATATTTGAAATTGGCTATAATAAAAAATGTTTTAAAATTTTAAATGAAAATTTTACCTTTATAAAGGATAATAAAATAATGCAGTTTTATTAGAATTAAAATGATCTAAAATAAGAAAGAAAAAAAAAATTTTAAAATAAAGAAAAAATGTAAAAAAAAGTATAAAAATAAAAATAATCAGGAGGCTGAATAATTATATCGTAACTTCACAGGTAATCAGCGATTACACGTGAAGTTACTATCAATAAATAAGCATTAGCATTTCCCGACAAAGGTTTGTCCAACTCTATTTTCTCGTCATGGAATTTACCAACTCTAACGACATTTCACTAACTGATTTATTAGGGTTTGCATCATTATTCTTAAACTTGGTTTCTGTTCAAATTCAAAAGTTTATTTGTAAACTTTCTCTAATTAAAAGACTACTGTTTGTTTTTTTATAATGCTCGTCATCAGCTAAACTACTTGCAAGAATGATTTAACAAGCTTCTATCTTGGCACTTAATTTATCTCGTTGAGAAGTTTGTTATTTTGCACGATTTGCTTTTGGATTTCTAAGATTAAGTCAACTATGGAAGAAAAATTACCCGCTTTGTCTTTTGATTCTGTAATTAATGAATCAGCTTCGTTTTTCATTTCCTACTTGCAGTGCTAATTCTTGTTCTTGGGCTTTAAGCCGGATAATTTCTTGTTTAAGTTTAGTGAAATTATAAGAACTATTAGAAAAGACTATATTGGACAATATGTTTAAGTTTCGGATTTGTTATTGAAGTTAGTTTATCTAACTTCATTGGTTTGCTATTTCTAGCTTTAAAATCTTGAACTTCTTACTGGAAAATATCACTATTTTTTCCTTTCTTGCTCTAATTTGTTTGAATATTTCCTTAGACTGATATGCAATTTATTTGTCTCTGACAACTTGCTCAGACAAATAGACATTAGTCAATATATTAATTCACGGATTTTACCAAGCTTATAAAATCTAATGAACTGGTAATATTGAAATTACCCTTTGGTGACTTATGACGCTTGATGCATCTGCAGTATAAAAATTTTTTTTTCGTTGAGGTATAGTTTAATTAATGTATTTCTTAAACTTTCACTGTAATCTTACTATGATGTAATAAATAGTATTGTTCGTTATTAGGATTGAAATGACATTTGAACAGACTTTTAAAACGTAAAGGATAAAATCAAAATTGGAAATTGTGATCTGCTCATCTTATTTTCAAATTATATTATCCTTAACTTATGAAATGGACTCATTCTGTCCTGATCGATCTAATTTATGGTGATAGTTAAATGTTGGAAATAATTATTTGGTCTCAGTTTTGAAAATTGTCTAAAGATTACTGAAAATGATCTTATTTTCTGGGCTATGATTTGTATTTACATCCTTGTTCGTTAAACAAAATTGGATTGTTTTTCAATGATCTTTTTTAATCAGTGCCCATAACTAGGAATAAATGCATTTTCCATCAAATGATTTCAAGCTGTATTTCACTGTTATATCTAATAACAAATCCATTATAACGAAAGTGTCTTATATTTTAAATGACGAAAATGCGCGCGGTTTGTCAACCAGATAATCATGCATACATAATTTGAAGAAAGTCTAGATCAACAGGAATGACTTTATAAGTGTTTTTTTTTCAAATTGAAAATTCAAAATAAAAAGAATTTAGCAGGAATAATGATTTCAAGAACCTTTCAATAAATTATATGGTTTATGAGCTCTCATTGCTTTTTTCATTGAGATATAAGGATCATTCAGTTTTGTATCAGTGTATGAATCTAGAAATCAAAATGATACAATGCTATTGAGCCGATGGCACCAAAAAACCCATGTTGCAAAATTTATAATTTTTTAATTTATAATAAATTATGATAAATATTGATTTATTTCCAGTTACAATTTTCAATCGTAAATATGCTCAAAGAAATTTTTTTTTTTAATGTAAATGTTCTGATATTTTTACAGATCACAGCCTAAAATGTAAAGATCAATCTTACTAAGTTGCTTAAATTTCAGAGACATTTACAATTTGATTAAATAATTTTTCAGATTGTCAATTTTTAGGTTGAAATTCTTCTATACTTAAATCTTATTGATTAACTTTTTTGGATCTCCTAACGAAATAAAGCTATAAACTCTAGATTGTGTCTTTAAACAAATGATATAATAAAATATTATGAAACTTCTCTGTTGGTAAATAATGTACTGAGCTAATTTTTTTTTTTACAATTTCGGAACAAAGCACGGTTATTTGTCTATCAACTAATTATGTCAAATTTTAATATAATTTTATATTTTTAATCATATGCACAATAATGATGTTAACTTCAACCTCTATTTTTACTTTAATTTAGAGTCCCTAAAACATAATAAAATAATAAGCACTGTAATGTCATTTAAATACATATTGGACAAGTAGAATTTCAAACCCTCAAAAAAAACTTTCCCAAATTACATAGTAAAAAATGAAAACATGCTGATAATTTTGATAATTATAAACTTTGAAATTGTTATTTTCATTTAATAAATTGAATAAATGACCATTGAGAAGACATAATTTACATGTTTTATATATTGGATGATCAAGAATTAATTTCAAGTCCTTGTATTAGTGATAAAACTTATAATTGAATTAGTTGAAAGATAGTTCTCTCTAAGATACGTTTTTTAGCAAATATAATAATTTAACAAAATATGTAGTATGTTGATTATTGATCAAAATATATAATTAATAATAAGTTAAAATAACAATCTTTTATCCCCAATACTAATTATAAAATAAACATAAAACTTTTAATTATAATATGAAGACTATTTGCAAAAACTTAAATTTATCATAATCTTAACAATATTATAAATCAGAAAGTTATTAATAATATATTTTAAATAGATATATACATAATTTGAAAATTATAAAGGAACTGATTTTGATACTTATAGTCAATACTTACAGCTTATTCCTTATAAAATACTAATTAATTCAAACTAGAAATTTAAGAACTTACTTATCAAATACATTAAAACTGTTATTTTATTAAAATATTATCAGATAAAAATAAACTCAAATTCAAATGTAAACTTATATAATAACTTTAGATATATAATAACATTACGTTATAAAAAAATACAAATTGTCAAGAATAATTTTTTTCACATTTTCTTAAATTAATATACTAATATACCTATAAAAAATTTTACAAATGAATGATTTACTGAATTACTTTGATTATAAATTTTCATTTAATTTGAAATTTAAAATTAATTTATTAAAATTTAATTTAAATATTTAATTATAACTTTATTATAATAATAATAACTAAATAAATATATAAGTTATTTTTACTAAACAAATATTTTATATTTTTAACGTGCAAACTTTTCAGGTTGCAACTGTCAGATATGGTGTCAAAGAGTTGACTCTTTTATAGTTTATATAAAGTTCTAACTAGTTTTACGCTGAATATTAGTTAGTTTTTTATCACTAGTTTATCAAGTCAAATCAAGTTTACTAAACACAAGCGACTTTAATTACAAGTCAAGAGTTATTACAGTAGTTTACGAAGAGTTTGAGGTAAGGAATAGGAAATGCTTTTATTGAAGTAGAAAGGAAATAATAAAATAAAATATAAGAAAGAAATAAGAAAATAAAAATAAAAAATAGAGGTACACAAAGTGAAGAGTAGTATTGTGCTATTTTTTATAAGAAGGAAATTACTATATAGCTGTCAGTCTATCTTTTTTTAACTGATAAAAGGGCTTGTATTTATATTTATTTTATTACATATTTTGATATATCTAATATATTAACTATATTAACTATATTAACTATATTAACTATATTAGACATATTTGATATATTAGATATATTAAATATATTTAATATATTTGACATTATTAACATTTGTACTCTACCATACATTTGTAGATCTATGATCATCAAGATCAACATCTGATTACATTACTCCTTCCTTAAGATTTTTGTTCTAATAGAAATTTCTAAAGTACAGTTAAAAAGATTCTGATATTTATTAGATTGAATCATCTAATCTAGATCAATGTTAAGAAATGAGTATTCAGAATTTGTTTGCTTCCTAAATTTTCAAAAAAGAAAATAAATACAAGTTGAACATTGAAGTAATATGCTGTAATTGTTTGACTTTGAAGAGTTCTTTATACTGAAACTAGTAGAAACTGACAGACCTGTCATATATGATATATATGCTAAATATGCCATATCTGCTAAATAGGACACACATACTATTTATTATATTTTTATTATTTATATCATTATTATCATTTATAACATATTTATCATAATTAGCATATCTGTTAGCTCTGTTATTATTATCAGTAGTATCATAATTATCATAGATTTTCTTTAATTGTAATTTTCCTATATAAAGGGTATGAAAATACCTTGAAAAAAAAATAGATTCCAACAAGATCCTAATATTGTATTCAATTTACATTTAATAACAATAATAAACAATTTTAATATTTTGCAAACATAAAACTTATAATTTTATTCTTGTTAACTAAATAAACTCTCTAATAAATAGCATGTCAAGTTAATTGGATTTAAGTCATAGCTATTGTCTCCCTAACTTTAAATCATAGTTAACTTATTTGACGGAAAGAGTAACATTAACAAGTGGTGATTCCTACCAAGATACTATTGACTTTATATATAACAGACTACTAATAGATTTAGCAAGATGTATAAAAGTTTCAGTTAAGAGAATTAAGAAATAGAGATAATTTTATACATAATGAACTGCTAATGAAATAGTGAGGTGTATGAATTTTGAAGCAATCAAGAGAAATATATTAGAATATATTGTGAGACATTATTCAAATTCCTCCCTTAATGAAGACTATACTTACAGTTAGTATTATCTACCCCTTCCATTTAATACACTTTCAAATAATTTTTAAAATTTTTAGAATTGGTTTCATTACGAATATCAGGCTGAAACTTACACAGCAAGATCAGTTGTTGCTTTCAACCTGTTTGAATAATTAAATAATATCCTAGTATCAGAATATCGTAATAGCTGATTAACTAAGATAATTTATCAGTTGCTTTCTAATCTCTGATATAGGACTATACCTTTTTCATCAGACGTAATATATTTATATGTCCAAGATGTTTCTTTCAAAACAAATTGCTTTTAACAACCAGTTGATTAATCTATTTCATTAAAAGTATACTTAGAAATTCTTAACCAGGATTAATACAGATTTAAAAAGACTGATAATTACTTCGACAATTAATTGCTTCTCCAGTACCCTCTGCAACTAGCTTATTAATAACCCCAGTTACTACCTTACCATCAGAAGCAATAACAATAGCAGCTACAGGTGAACAAATAAGACAAGCTCTTGAAGAAATCTTTGGAATAAATAGAGCTTGATTAAATACATTAGGATAAACTGAATGAACTATAGCAAAGATTAATTACTTTTATGGTACTGAAGCCAAAGATCCTATAAAATGGCTTGCCACTTTTGAAAAAGCTACCACTATTAACTGATGGATTGATTCTGCAAGAAAGAAAGCTATATTTAAAGGATACTTAAAAGGAGTCATATCTGACTGGTTCAAAAAAATATAGCAATTATGGGAGATAATTAGGCCCCAACCTCCAATGGTGAAAATAATTTTGTGGATATGTTTAACACCCAGTTTATCAACGAAGCCTGAAAGAATCAATGGTACTAAGAGTTAACTTCCCTACAATAACATTTAAATGAATCAGTGGATTCTTATACTAATAAGTTCTAAAAGTTAGTAAAAAAGTAGGCTTAACTGATAATGCTCAACAAAAATGAATATTTCTTATAAGATTAAACTTAACATATACTCCAATGGTGTATACACAAAACCTGAACAATTTGGCTACTACAGTAAATGCTGCTAGAAATATCAAAATTGATCATAATTTTGCCACTGGAAAAACTCTAAGAGACACAAGTGTAACTCCTTAACATCTGCTCTTGCTCATCAAAATCATTTCAGTTATTAGTACTGAAATAGATGAATTCACAAAGAAACTAGAACAACTTACTGTAAATTATGCCAATTTATTGTCCGCAATACTAACCCAGTCATAGATTTCAAGAAGAAGAAACAGACTAATATAAACACTTACAGATCTCAGAACTAACAATTTTACCTATTATAATTGCAATGTTAAAAAATATATTACAAGAAACTGTACTCAGCTGTGACGATATCGTCAAGATAATTGTAGATCCCATTTTAGCAAAGCTAAAGAAATGCATTTAGCTGATCAATATACTGATAAAGATCATGACAACTATGACTATGAAACAGATGAAAATGAGGAGTATGAAGTTTACCTGAATACCTGATCTAGATCATATCCTGATAATCCAATATCAAAAAACTGAAGAGTTTAATGTGTGGAGTCTCAAAGGAAAAAAAACTTTAGAAGGTTTTCAAGTCAACTGCTATTCCAAATTTCTCAGAAAAATTTGCACAAACGAATCCCGTCCTAATGTAAATCAAAGTTCTAAGTAATCCTAAGAATATAAAGAGAAGATTAATGTCAGTACTGATTGAATAATTAACAGAGTTCAATATTGCCACTTATCTCCAGAATCTTCTATGCAGATTATCAATGAGACAAGCCGCTTATGCTATACTAAATTACTGTTCCAGTCTAGCTAAAGTCATAAAGAGATCTAGAAAAAAAGCTTTA